ATTGTAGGGTCCTCTTTTGATGTTACTTAAATAGCGAGCTACCTTAATCGTTTTATTCAATGTCACGTACGACAGATTTTTAGTTACATTACAGAAGATTCTTTGTCTCTTCTGACAAATTACTATCTGTCTCTGTGCGAATTAAGTAAAACCCAATTTTTCTTCTATTCCAGCGGGTACATCGCAACGACTCATTTCCAGCCGACGTTCGCTCGACAAGCGTTCCCATGTTGGGACGAGCCCATCTACAAGGCGAAATTCAACATCACTTTAATACACGAGAAGAGACTGAAGGCGATCTCTAATATGGATGTACTAAAAACAGAAGAAAAAAGTGACATGATAATCACTACATTCAAAGAAACCCCACTCATGTCTACTTATTTGGTAGCATTCACAATAAGCGATTATCAATTTAAGGAAGATAAAGTCGGCAACTTCACCTATAGGGTGTGGACGAAGGCGAGCGCGATAAAACAGACTGATTACGCTTTGAAAATGGGTAGAAAGCTTCTAGAACAGCTGAATTTGTACACGAATATTTCGTACCAGACATACATGCCAGACAAAATAGATCAAGTCTCGGTGCCGAATTTATTCGGAGTCCCTGCCATGGAGAATTGGGGCCTCGTAACTTACAGGTACTTAGAAATAATGAAATCGCGATCAAAGTACAACGGATTTTATTGTGTATCGATCTGACGTGACGGATTCGAAGTACAAATTGTTTTCTCGATGGGATTGACGATGGTTTGCAATACAGAAATAAGCAAACTCATAGTATCGAATTAAAAAAATACTTGCGATTTTCCTTTCCTTGTAATGTATCACTTAATCGAATTGTACGATCGAATCGCAGAATGCTAACTAATTGTCATTAATAGACTGCGAATTTTACGCACACATAGAAGAATTAAATGTGCCAGAAATATAAAGAATGCATCTGATTTTCGGAAGATGAAAGAATTCTCAAACTGAATATCATTTCTTAAATTGACAATACAAATGTTTCATTTTTTTATAAAAGTCCGCAGTACTAATAATGATCGATTCTTTAATATTCTGATAGAACGTGTTGCACATTATCTACGCTCAAATTCTTAAGTTTTTAGTATTTACTTATAATTTAATATTCCAACTATTATGCTTATTTTATACTAAATCGTTAACCCATTCGCTACGACAGTCCGCTCTGCCGAAGTAGTCCCGCTGAACGGAACACCGCGCTAAAAAGCCGACTATAACGTATAGGATGAACCACGAATCGTGATCGTTAGAGATTATTCTGTTATTAGCAGTCCAATCGAAAATGTTTCTATTGGGTATAGCATGGTTACAAGAGAACTTTCACATGATTATAGCAATTTTTTGTCAACTCTCTTTTTTCATGATCTATCAAGGCCACCTTCAATTTTTTGAGAACATATCTGAATTAACATAAAAGTTATGTTATAACACTTATAGAATTCGTCTTCAATTCCTCTAATAGGTAGGCGTAAAAAGATTATAGGTGTACTTGCAAAAAATTGAAGGTGATCTTGAAAAATTATGAAAGTGAGAAGTTGACAAAAGATTTGCTATAAAGATTACGTGAAAGCTATCTTGAAACCATGTTATACCTGATGAAAACATTTTCGATCGTACTGCTAATAACAGAGTAATCTCTACTGCTCACGATTCGTGGTTCACCCTGTATATTTAATACGTAATTGATGCTGATTATAGTCGTCGATCGTTCACAAGGAACGTCGACGTATGGATGCCGATTATAGTCGGCACTCGTAGCGAAAGGGTTAAATAGATTTCATTCTGGAAATTCATTCATTCAAGTAAATACATAGATATAAAAACGGTTAGTACATTTATCTACAGTATTATAATAGGAAATATATTATTTATAGAATGTTTTAATGTAATACTGTGTTAGATAAAAAGTATAGACGTTACAATGGTCACTTTTCGCTGACTCTAATCATTAAGGATGAGGCTGAACACCTCTGAACTCGAATTTCCATTTCAGAGAAAGATCTCTTCTGTATGATGAGGCTTTAAGCACAACCCAAAAGAAAATGAACATACTCATGCTCATCGCTCACAAGTTTACTCAACAATGGTTCAGCAATGTCGTTACCCCGAAATGGTGGAAGTATGATTGGCTGAACAAGGGATTCGCCAAATATTTCCAATGCTTCATTACTCACAAAGTAAATACGATACTCTAATTCTTCTTAAAACTGACTCTTATCGCTATGTTTTTTTGACATGGTATTTATAAATGTTGGGGCATTGTCATTTCTTTATTCAGCTATTGCTATCATACTGGAAGTACATAAGGTGTGTTATTATTTAGCTGACTGAAACTGCCAGCCACATGCTCTTTCCTGTAACTGCCATATTGTTTTATTCATTAATTATATTTTGCGTTAGAAGGAGGAAAATTAAGGAGCATCAAAAATGAAAATTAATTTGCACATATAAAGTCTAAATTACATTTTGGCAATTTGTTTACCAAAATAGCACTCTTAAGAATTACCAGCTTTTAAATTGGTCTTTTCTCGGTCACAAGCATCGCACTAGTGTTTTTACAACACTGGATCCTTTGGGAATCGATGATAGAAAATATTCAATTTTTTAGTATTACCACTCTAGTGATCATTATAACTTTTAACAGCGCAGCCTGACATTTTTGTCGTTTTAATCAGTTTTTATTATTGAACACAAGTAGTCATTTCTCGATATGGCCATCCTATGGAATGCGCAGACAGAAACGGTACCACCCATGGACCTAGTACCACCGGAAAAACGCACCTTACATATTTCTACCATGATTGTTACCACTTTCAGGCAATAATTTCGTTGAGTTGGACACCTTTAAAAGCCAATACAGTGAATGTCACAATTTCTACTCACTGACGTATCTTCATAGAGATTTATCTCTACGCGTACCTTCCTATAATTTTACATGCCAATTTATCATTGTGGGATCGTGCATGTATTATACAAAGAGTAACAGGCGCCGTTTGGTGATATGTTTAAATATTTAATACGAACGTTCGGCAGTTCGGCACACACTACGATACGAAGTGTCTCGACTTTTTATCTAATCACGACTGGCGAGATCGAAAAGTCGACCTCATTAGCAAGATAGAAAAGAGAAATGATAGTTGTTGAAAAGATAAAGAGCATCGATGGAAAAAAGGAAAAGAAACGTGCGTAAAATCACGGATGAGGGTAATAATCAGAGATAAGAGATAGCGACCAAAACTAGCCCACAATGAAGACTATTAAACAAAATAGAAAATTAAGATAGAGAAACGACAGCCTAAAAGAACACGTGTCCGTTGCCAGATGCTATAACATGATAGAAAATGGTACCACCGGAAGACTATCTTACGTGTTTCTACCATGATTGCTATCACTATCAAACACTAATTCCGTTGAGTTGGACATCTTTAAAGGCCAATTCAGTTGATGTCACAATTTTCACACACTGACTTATCTTCTTATAATCTTACATGTCAATTTAACATAATAGAAAAACAATTCAATGAGTAGAAATTGTGACGTGAACAGAAATTGGGTCATTTACTGCAGTATCGTTTAAAAAACGAGTTGTGAAAATCAAATGTTCTACAGTTATTACTACCTACCACATTTAGATATAATTATCAATATAGCAACTAATGATGAAATTACGAAATTCAGGTAGCACCTGAATTGCGATTAAACGATATGTTCGTTGTGGAGAGCACGCAGATGTCCGCGATGGTCTTTGACGCGCTCTCGGGGATGCGTGCCATAAATATGGACGTTTATAGCCCTGAAGAAATCCTTATGCTCTCTGATAGCATCGTCTACGAGAAAGGTAAAGAAAAAAAATAAAAGACGTCGTTTTAATCTCGATTAGATACATAAAAAGACGAGTAGATACATAAATTTGAACAATAAACGCAGTCACGACGGTTTTAGTTTAACATCAGATAAATAGAAACATGGGAACAGACACTGATAGGTATTAAATTAGCAACGGGTTTTCTTCTTATTCATTAACGAGACATGTTTTCTATTCTTATAGATCAGTTAAGACATTCTAAATACCGCCGGATTATTAGATACGCAGGCTTAACAAGCGAAAGCAAAGCGAGAAAGTTAATAGTCTGAATAAATCGATAGCAGTGCTTTCTAATAACTTATCAATTATTAAACATTATGAACAGTCTGTGAACTAACAATTATAATAAACGATAGGTGCGTATATTTTAATAACATCATAATAAATGGTTCCACAAATTATTTATTCATTAATTTCTATACGGGATTGTAAAGTCCATTATTAAACAACAAAATATCGTGAAAAAGGAAATATAAATCCTAAATAAGTCTTGAGTAAACATTATTGTTTTATTAGTTAGCCTTGCTAATAGACTCTCAATCAATGTGCACACCACTTAGAAAATAGCACGGAGTGACTGTGAAAAGCTCTGCGAAAATTAGTATAAGCAGCATTCACGTGCATACTCTTTATTATGAGTGCTATTAATTCCTTGCCAGTTTATTTCAATTTCAACAGATAATTTCCACATTGCATTGTACTTATTTCGACAGCAAACACAAACAATTATTTGTATAACTTGCAGCTGGATCTGTTGTTCGAATGATATCCCACGCCATGACGGAAGAGGTTTTCCATAAGGCAATGAAACTCTATCTAACAAACCAGTACGTATATCTTTATACGTGTATAAAATAATCTTTATTGAAATAAAATAAGAATAACAAACATTGGACTGGATGTATTGTCCAGCAAGTTAGTTCCGATTTTTGATAGGTGGATCACGAGATATGAGTAAATGAGAATGACTGAAAACAAATGACATGTATGTACACTCTAAAAGTAACACTGTTAAAATGTGAAACAAAAGTCGTACTTACTACATTTTGGATTTTAAATAATTTCATTCCAAAGATTGATTGTTTATTCTGAATAAAAAAAGGACCAACATGCCTTGCAATGTACCTTAAATTAAACATTAAAACGAATTTTGTCTTGATTATCTGAGCGTTAGCTACGTAGTACTGAATGGCATAAATGCGTGCTTTGGACTGTTTTTAGGGACAGAGTGTACAAGTTGCATAAAAAAGTGTGGACCAAAATAGCACATAAATAATTCCATAAATCAATAAATATATATCAAAATTTAAGGATGCAGCCATTAAATTTTCTATAAAAGTCGGAACAAATTTTCTTCTCGAACCTCTGGACGATAATTAAATAATTCCTTGTAATACCTATTCAAAGTCTTCTACTCGTATCTGTTCTTCCTCAATTTCTATACTCTTTTCTGTATTGGTTAACACTAATAAATAATAATAACTGTTGCAGCGCGTTAGGTAATGTGGATTCGAATGACCTTTTCGGATCCCTCCAGAAAGCTTTGGATGAGAGTGGGATTAAATGGAAACAGCCCGTGCAAGTTATAATGCATAACTGGGTGGAATATCCGGGATATCCAACGTTGACAGTTAAGAGAGTCGATAGGGGCTACGAATTGACACAGGAACGTTTTGTGATCGAGCTGATGATGAAAGTCAAGGAGTACCCTACCAAGTGGTGGATACCAATCACTTATGTCGAGGAATCGAATCCAGATTTCAATAACACGACTCCCATCGATTGGTTCTCTCCGGACGATAAATCACATACCGTGCCATCTAAGGAAAAAACAGGATGGTTTGTTTTTAACACGCAGCAAACAGGTATGTTGCCTAGTTTTTATAAAACATTCGAAATGAATAATTAAGAGTTGACATTTAATTTTTAATCGTATGCTCAAGAGTTTCAATGTAAGAATTGAATATTTATATAATCCGACGAATAAAACTTTTTCCATTTCTTGCAATATCCATATTAAAGAATAAGTTTGATGTTCATTCGTGAATTAGGCTTAAAGTCGAATATTGCTGAACCGAGATCAGATGGATCCGACAATCGTTGTTCGCAACGCGATTACGTAATCTTCGTTTCACCTCTTTTCTGGTAACTTATATTACGTTCCCAGTCTCATGTATAACACCAAATCGTACATGCGTAAATCTGTTCTAGTTTATCGAAGACTTTATATTCATAGAAGCTCATCTATCATTTTCTCAACAAAGATCATGGGTCCAGATCGCTTTTGCTGTGTGTGAAAGTGCTGGTATTAACTCTAGAGTTAATTAAAGATTGCGGGCGCGAAGAAAAGTTTTTCGCGAACGGAACTGAAAGTGTGGTGGCGCGGCCATTAATGAACGAACACGTGTACCGGTATTTGGTGGTGATCCCTTACTTAGTGTATCAATCACGGGAGACGACATCTGGGCTCGTGGAGTCAAAAAATTTGATGGAACTAATTTCCAAGCCTGGAGATTCCAGCTTATGTAATTATTTTATGTTAACGGCATTCAAGATGTAGATGGAACGAGGCAAAGGCCAAATCCTGGGACGGTTGATGAGAAACCATGGGTGCGTGAGAACGCAAAAACAATGTTTGTCATATCGTCATCAATGGAAGCAAAGAAATTAGATCCTATTCTGGTTTGTACCACTGCGAAAGAAATGTAGACGAAGCTGTGCATGCTTCATGAGCAGAAGTCGGAAGCCAACAAGATGGTGCTCTTGCAAAAATTTCATGAGTACCGAATGTCATCTGAAGATAGGATGGAACAGCACATAGCAGCAGTGCAGAATATGACTGCTATTTTGCGGGATGTTGGCGAACAGATATCCGACAGTGCGGTGGCAGCAAATCTGCTAGCCAGCTTGTCGCCTAGATATGGAATTTTTAGAACAGCATGGGATAGTGTCGATCCAGCGAGACAGACACTTGGGAATTTGACTTCAAGATTAGTTGCGGAAGATCTCCGACTGAATTCAGAAAATCAAGAAGGGAAAATAGCTCTAGTTGTGTCCAAACAGGATCAATCAAAGAAGTCTGAAATTCAGAAGAATAGTTCTAAGAAATAGAAGGCGAAGAAGAATGTTACGTGTTACAAGTGTCATGAAAAAGGACAATTCGCGTGTGAATATCCTGAGAAGTGCGGGAAAGAAAAGAACGTCGTGAAAGACATATGTGATAGTGCGTTCATTTGCGTTTTGGTCATAACTCAATTTCTATACTCTTTTCTGTATTGCTTAACACTAATAAATAATAATAACTGTTGCAGCGCGTTAGGTAATGTGGATTCGAATGACCTTTTCGGATCCCTCCAGAAAGCTTTGGATGAGAGTGGGATTAAATGGAAACAGCCCGTGCAAGTTATAATGCATAACTGGGTGGAATATCCGGGATTTCCGATGTTGACAGTTAAAAGAGTCGATGGGGGCTACCAATTGACACAAAAACAATTCGTAACCGTGCTGCTGAAAATCGACGAATACCCTACCAGATGGTGGATACCAATCACTTACGTCGAGGAATCGAATCCCAATTTCACTGACACGACTCCCGTCGATTGGTTCTCTCCGTACGATAGATCACATATCGTGCCATCTAAGGAAAAAACGGGATGGTTCATTTTCAATACACAGCAAACAGGTACGTTGCATGGTTTTATAAAACACCAGCTGCACTTGGCGTGCCGTAGGCACGCTGCGTCGTACGCACCTCGTCACTCCCTCCCCCTACCCTTTACCACCATCGATGGGATACATGCATACATACATTTTATATTTATACATAGATTTTTATATTAACACATACATTTTTATATTTATACATACACATATACTAGTCTATTTCATATATACAGGGTGAGTCGCTAAAAACAAGCCACCTGAATAACTTTTACATTTTGAGAGATAATAGCAGGTTCTTTCTACACCAATCAGAAGCGATCACGAAAATCACGAATCACTGTGAAAAATCACCTTGATTGGGAACGAACGTGATCGAATCACGAGTGATTCGAAAATAGCAGTTCTAGCCATCACTACTGGTAGGGGTGTAGAGGGATGTATGCCCTCCAACCAGACGCTCACAGCGAATAGTATTCACTTAATATTATCCCTGACTGTGTTGCAAACTTTAAAGCGTTAAGGGGCTATGGTAGTCACGGAACTTTCCTAACATTTCTATGTAAAATTTTGACGTTTTTTCCTTCTATTTTATCGATATTCAAGCAAAAATAGTATAAAATATGAGTCTACGGGACTACACTTTTTGTGTTTAGACGGGTAGATGTTTGGATCGTCGAGTACCTCTTTGAAGAGACGAACGTTAAGCCTGGCTTACTCTGGTTTTGATTTCATTCAATACAATCTCTTTTGGACATAAACTTGCTTAGAAACAAAGACATTATAACTACGATTTTTCATCAATTTTGTAACGCTCATATTAATAAATATAATCATACTGTGATTAAATTAAGAAATAAATACATTACATCAATGAGGGCTAAAATGAAGAATTACTGAAATGTTTTGAAATTAATAATGTTACGTCGCAAATAAGCTGTTCGCTTGACTTGCGTATTTCAATATTCAATTAACAATAGAAAAGGGAATACTTGGGAAAATGGGTTTACGGGGAGGTAAAAAATAGTAAATAAAAATCGTAATTTTGGGTTAAATCCCGAGGAAAAAGATCTTGCGGCCAAAACCTCAAAAAAGATATTTATTGCGTAATAAATTAGACAGATGATTTGTGTAATAAGGACGAATCGCTCGGAGTGACAAATAAATAACATTGTAAAAGATTCGGAACGTCTGATTTTCGTCGGTATTTAACAAGAGGGATACGAATGAACCTCCTTCTTGGTCGCGAAGGCGACGCGTTTATGGGACGAGAGAATCCCGTTGAATGCTCGGAACCAGGTTCCGTCGGAGTCTGCCGTGCAGGGAAACATCCGGACGTTCAGAATGTCTGTTATTCGATTTATTGGAAAGACAGAGTTCCCTGATCGCGCGTGCGATCCGATTGGTGGGACGGCAAAGTTCCCTGATTGCAAGTGCGGCGTAAGAATGTTTCGCAATCATAACACTTCAACGGTAGATCGATCATAGATCGTAGATAAATCAAACGAAACCACTGTTATCACGCATCGCGTTACTCTTATTTCGAATTCGTTTGGAGCTCCGAGGAGCGAGATGCTGCCCCGAGCGCTCTTGATCTCGAACTCTATGATTCCTTTAGATTCCTCGTGACGACTGACTAAAAGCTATGCATTGCTAGACCGAGAACACTCGCATGAGAGGGGATAATGTTTAAACAAAATACTCGCCATGAAAGGCGAAGAAAAAATTCTTAAGAGGTTTACGACTCGCACGTATTTATACGAGAAGATATTGCTGGACAAAGAGCCTGCCTTGACTCGTATTTCGAAGCGTTTAGCGTAGTGCTATTCATAGTGGTCTACGGCCCGAACCACTTGAAACCAAAAAAATCTGTTGGTCGCGGTCAAATTGTTTCTTCCGCGATTAAACATACTCCCCCCGTTGCGAGAGGCCTGAACAAATAATCTAAGAAACATTTTATGTGATCAATTTCTTATAATACTCATACTTATTTATTCAGAGTTTGGTGCTTTATTGAAATTCGAGAAAAAATATTGGGGCATTCTATAAAGAGAAATATCTCGATAAAGAATCAAAGAAACAAAAAACAGATCACGGCGCTGTATGTTCCCTTGAAGTCATACAACATTCGTTTAAATATTTTTATCGTATAACAAATACCTTACGAATTCGAAACGTCACTCATCGAGTATTATGGAAAGCCTCTCTTATCTCTCGATTAAAAAATGGACTCTGTCAGCTTTTTCTTATCGTTACCCTCACTTTCCCGAAAATCATGTACTTTTACAAAAACTATTATTTTTCAAAACCGGGACGTGATAGAACATTTCGGATTCGTTTTGACATGACAAACTATATAAGAATCACGTAGTGGATATTGCATAATGATTGTAGGTCGTAAGGTGTTAGATTTATCTTATTGTAGAAGAGCAGAATGAAAAATGTATGCACTACCGGCACCAACGTGACGTTGGTGTGCGCGATACAAAAAAGAAATGAAAGAGAGGATTCAAGATTTTTAGTGAGCGAAAGAGTGTGTCGCGTTATGTGCCTAATCACTTAAGTTAAAGTATACTACGTACGTCATTAATACATTTTCTCTTACGTCCATCATCCTAACGCGTTTGTTCGTCCATTCCGTCAATCTTTGTTTTACATTATGTAATTGAGCTTCAGCGACTTAACAGAATTACTAGATTAATATTGTATAACGAATACATCTGCGTTAATTTTTACTATTCTCAACTGCTCACTGATTCATACGTAAGATAAGTCGAAAACAGGAAATAGCAGATATAATTAACGAAATTTTGTATTCTGTGTCAGGTTACTATCGCGTGAACTATGATGTAGAAAATTGGCAATTGTTGATGAAAGAGCTGAACAAGGGGAGCGATACTAAAATACACGTGCTGAATCGTGCGCAGATAGTGGATGACGCCTTTAGCTTAGCTCATACTGGCAATTTGAATTATACGGTCGCTTTAAACGTGACCCTCTACTTAACGCAGGAGACCGATTTCATGCCTTGGCAACCGGCATTTAAGCATTTAGGCTACCTGCGGAATTTGTTACGCACCTCCGACAAATATTACACTTTCAAGGTAAGAACTGCAAATACAAAGTCGAAGATGCCAAATAATATTTAACGTGCTTTTTCGATAAACGCAAAGCCGTCGCGAGAGTGACTTATCATTAGATTGCGGTTGTTTATACATTTATAGGAATTTTGAATTTAATCTAAAGTACTACAGAATGCAGTAATTTATAAAGAAATATTTTAAATATTCGAATTCAAATACAATTTATAATATTTAAAGGAAAAAACGAATGTTTATATTCATTTCGATTCTGTACTTTTATTTATAAAACATAAGAGTATGCGTAAACATGCGCACCCTACTTATTATAGGTGTATTGTTGAACTGGAAGCGTCGGGTTTAAGGGGATAGAAAAATAGTTACATAAAACCATTGTAATTATGATTTTTCATCCATTTTATAAAGCTCACATTACTAAATATCGGTATATTCTGATTAAATCATATTCTGATATATCGTATTTCTGATTATATCATCATTTGAATTAGAAATTGGACATTACTTATTAATTATAAGTTCACCAATTAACAATTGGAATTTTTAATTACATAATGCTCAGTTAAGATTTGAAAAAGAAACCTTAGTTGCTAATTGTTGATCATGAAATACAATAACAACTCTAGCATGTATGAAATCCTGAAATTTGCAGCGTTACGTGGCATACTTGTTGAGGGCTTTAACGAACGACGTGGGTTATGAACCGAAGGCGAATGATAGCGATCTCGTAAAAATGCTCAGAGTAGACGCAATGAGATGGGCCTGCGAAGCTGGCGTCGAGCAGTGCACATCCTATGCTGAGAACACATATCTACAATGGCTCATTAATCCTGTGATGGAGTAAGTCGAAATTCTGTTCTCTTAAATGATAACAATTCGTACGCTCTTTCTTCTACAGGGTGTCTCAGAACTCGTGGTACGTTTTTTAATAGGAGATTCCTGAGATGATTTTAAACAACATTTTCCTTTGCGAAAATAATGTCCATGGCGTGGTAATAAAAAAATATTGTTTAAAATAACTTCAGGAACCTCCTATTAAAAGATGTACCATGAGTTCTGGTTCTCCATACACCCTGTATGTACAGGATGATTAGGGCAGGTCTAACCGCGACTGCGGAATAAACTATAGTATCGGTTTCAAAATAGTGTTTTAAACAGCAACTGCTTTTATTAGAACTTACTTTAATATACATTTTGTATTTAATATTATGTAAATTTCTATGCATTAGTGTTTTTCTTTTTTATACATTTAATTTCTTTATAAATGTATTGAATCCGCAATTTCATAAGCTACGCGTGAAATTTGTTACATCATCGAACAATCATGCATTAAAATCAAAGTTGTTCTAGCTATACAACCTCCGGAAAAAGTTAGTCTAAATAAAGTGTATTCTTTAATCTCTGTCAAAACCCAATTTCTGTTCACGTTACAGTTTCTACTCACTGGCTTTTTCCCATCATTTTACACGTAATGATAAGCCAATGAGTGAAAATTATGACGTGAACAGAAATTGAGACATTTACTATACCGTTTCAAAAATAAATTCAAACTCTGAATAAGCATAATGATAACTTAGCAAAAAATTAAGCGTGTCTTAAATAAAGTGCATTCTTTGATTTTACAACGTTAGAAGGTATGTTATAATAGAAATAGGATAAACAGAATTAAAAGGATTTTTAATAATCGTTAAAGTCGTTTAACTACGATTTCTTTATTTGAAAAATATTCAAAGGTAATCCAATATGTGAAGAGAATTTGTGCTGTTATTGTGTCTCATTGTCAATTGTTCCAGAGCTTTTCCATGTTTCAATTGTAAATTTATAACAATATTTTTTTATTATCTTCTGAGTGTTCATTATTCTCGATGAAATATATTATAATATATTTCTAATATAATTAATTACACTGCATAATGTTTCAAAATTCTGTCACTATTTTCTGTAGTTTTTTTTCAATTAAATATAGCAATGCAGTTCTATTCCACTAAACCCAATAAGAACACATTGACATAATTACAAAACTATATAGTTCTTGAATTTCCTATTTTGGCGTGCAAGTGTAATATGTAAACTGTGGCTTTTTGAGCAAAATAAACTATTTCTAGAAATGTGTTTCAAATAGAACTCTTTTAATCTTTTGCGGAATGCATTTTGCATTTAGTATTTCGTATATTTCTATGCATTTAGTTTGTGTTTTATATTCAATTTTCTCATAGATGTATAAAATCCGCAGTCTAGAGACAATGATGTGGCAGGCAATTAATGTAGTATTCATATCTTGTGATAAATGCCTTTTATCAACAAATTCTTAACTTCTTATAATCTACTTCTCAACGTCTTATAATCTTGTGCACAGATTGGACGTTAATCTGAAGACGGAAATTCTTTGCGCTGGGGTCAGGAAGGCGAGCGAGAGCGAGTGGACTGATACTCTGGAGTACATAATTACATCTAAGCTCGATGAGGACGATAAAAAGGATCTACTGATGGCCCTAGCCTGTTCCAATTCCTCTGAGATTCTGATGACATACTTAAACTCAACTCTCGAGCCAAGCTACCCGATTGATTTCAAGACCGGCGTGAAAAACGTGGTGTCCAAATATCCGGCTGGTGCCGAACTTGTTTCGAAGTTCCTGTTCAAAGAAAACAAACGCATCAGGCAAATGTAACCAACTTCGTACCTTTCTTTCTTTTCACCGTGGTCATTGTTACGTTTACTTAAGCTTGTGTGAATCGTAAGATCTTCAAAAGTTTAAGAAACGTAATAAGAAGCTATGTCCAATATGTGAACCGATAAACTTTTAGAAAGGTTCACAAAATTGTTGACGTATTTTTTTTTAATTCAATCAACTTTTTACGTATAACATATGGTTTTGAGAAGTACGATGACCTATCGTTTAGTTCAAACACGCATATATATTACACTCCGAGAACCTAATTTTTGACATGTTTACGATTTTTAAATTCGCTCTGTTTTAATATGAAGCGTGATTGGTTAGAAATCCAAAATGGCCAGCGAATGGAAGTGTCCGTGTATAGATGGATGTTTAAATGGATGCGCAAGAACACACCTTATATTATTACACCATGGTCATGACATGAAAGTGATGAAAGTGTTGATGTAATTTTTTCACTTCGTGATTTCAGAGGGAATTTCGAAACCATCATAGAAGACGTCGGTTCAATAATTGGTGGTGCAGTTACGACTCACGAACAACATCTTGAAGTAAGTTCGATTTCATAGCCGATTTTTCTAAAAACAGATCTCGTTATATATCCTTTTGTTTCGTGCATCATGATAGTCCACCTATATATTGACACCTCAATAGTTCCTTCATTCGCAATGATATGAAAAATGTTTCTTATGCTATATAAATGCTACCAAAACATGAATGTTGCAAGATCTTCTTTTCTCAAAGTCATTTTATTCTAAGTTTTTAACGTCACTGATTTTCGTTTCTTCTATACTTTTTTCTTCTATTATAGATTCATATCTTGTGATAAATGCCTTTTATCAACAAATTCTTAACTTCTTATAATCTTGTGCACAGATTGGACGTAAATCTAAAGACGGAAATTATCTGCGCTGGGGTCAGGAAGGCGAGTAGGAACGAGTGGTTTGATACTCTGGAGTATATAATTACATCTAACCTCGATGAGGACGATAAAAAGGATCTGCTGATGGCCCTAGCCTGTTCCAACTCGTCTGAGATTCTGATGACATACTTAACCTTAACTTTCGAGCCAGGCTATCCGATTGATTTCAAGACCGGCGTGAAAAACGTGTTGTCCAAATATCCGGCTGGTGTCGAGCTCGTTTCGAAGTTCCTATCCAAAGAAGACAAACGCATCAGGCAAATGTAACCAACTTCGTACCTTTCTTTCTTTTCACCGTGGTCATCGTTACGTTTACTTAAAGTTGTGTGAGTCGTAAGATCTCCAAAAGTTTAAAAGAGGTGATAAGAAGCTATGTCCAATATGTGAACTGATAAACTTTTAGGAAGGTTTACAAAATTGTTGACATGTTTTTTTAAGTCAATCAACTTTTTACGTATAACATATGGTTTTGGCACTTTTTGATACAATTGTACTTGACTTGGAATTGTTTACGTTGTTTACAAATCCTATAATTTCTACTCTTGCTTACTTTTTATGATACATCTTAAATAATATCCTCGAATTTCAAGTTTGAATTATTCTCAAAACATGTATTAACAATTGTACAAAATTACAAAATTCTCTCATTGTTGCACCTGTATTTTTTCATGAATGAAATCAAAATTTT